ATTAACAAAAATAAAAAGAACACAAAATTTTTTAAATCATTAAAATAAATAAATTACCTAAATTAAAAAATTACCTAAATTAAAAAATTACCTAAATTAAAAAATTACCTAAATTAAAAAATTACCTAAATTAAAAAATTACCTAAATTAAAAAATTACCTAAATTAAAAAATTACCTAAATTAAAAAATTACCTAAATTAAAAAATTACCTAAATCAAAAAATTACCTAAATTAAAAAATTACCTAAATCAAAAAATTACCTAAATTAAAAAATTACCTAAATTAAAAAATTACCTAAATTAAAAAATTACCTAAATTAAAAAATTACCTAAATTAAAAAATTACCTAAATTAGCATCACCATAATCATCTCCATTTGCAGTATGAATTTGAGGATCTGTGTACAGATCTCCTACTCCTTGAATATCTACAATAATAAGTTGATGACCAGACCGTTCAAATGTAAAATGGCTAAAAGCCTACAAAATTAAAATGTTTAAAGAGATTCCAAATTGTTTCTTGAAAGGTAATAAAAAACATGTTTACTGATAATTAATCAATAAAAACCAACTTTAATATTAAAAAAAATGAGGTTTTCATTATTCACTATACATTATGGAAAATCAATTTTTAATTTTACAAAAAAAAAAAACAATTTTGTTCAAGCCACCCTTGCATCTGGCCTCTGATTGGACTAGACTTGACATACACAGCAATAACTTACACATATTACTGAATGATCATATTAAGAATATTTATTCTGTTTATATAGTGATGTTTAGTGTCTTAGATTATTAGTACGTTATGATCATTTTAAGGCTTGACCCTATAACAAAGTTTAATTGTCTAGAAGTTTTCTTAGAAGTATAGTTGTATAAATAGCTATTGAACTATACTTTCACCTGGAGCATGTTTGTAGCTAATAGAATTTCAAGGACTTTGATGTAATAAAGTCACTTTGTTATTGTTAGGAATGTCTAAAATTAAGATCTTATAGTTTGTTTTTTTTGACAGCGGTTTTGTTATCATAACTAGTTGTCCACTCTAAAATTTTTATTGTTTTTGTTTTTGTTAGCAATGTCTTCAATTAAGATGTTATTGTTTGTTTGTTTTTTTGACAGCGGTTTTGTTACCATAACTAGTTGTCTGCCTTAAAATTTTTATTAACTTATCGAAACTGGTAAAATACTTACCTATCTTTTCACTTTCTTTCTTTATTATATATAAAATATCATTTTATTATATGGTCTTTACATCTTAATGTGTAAAGATTTATACTATATATTATTGTTTGCATTATTTGGGTATGCATGTATGTCTCTACATCCACATTTTTTTCTAAAAATTATATTAAAAGTTGGTTAAACTTTTAAAATTAAAAGTTGGTTGAACCTCTTAAAATTGAACGTTTGTAAATAAAGGGATTATTAAATAATTGTTTCATTTGAAATAACATAAAAGGAATATTTCAAATAAATATTTTATACTACCTAAACAATTTTAAAAAATCATTAAAAAAGTCAATATACTTTTTATGCAAAGTTTTTATATAAACTTACTTTGCATGTGTGTGACCATTGAATATAAATATAGTGACATAAAAATGTAATCTATTATATACAAAAAAATTGCTTAAGTTCTAACCTGCGGTGTTGCTCGAACATGTGTATCTTCTTCATGAAGTACAAACCCTGTATTAGAGTTATATTTAACATAATTTCCTTCAATGAAATTCTCAATATGATACATTGGCTGGCCTTCTCGATGTATAAACTTGCAACAGGCCTGTTGCATTATGTCTATCTAAATATTTAATAAAAGTATTTAGTACAACTTGAAGATACAAAAAAAAAAAAAAAGTTTAAAAATTCAATTTATTAAAGTAAAAATCTGTATTTTTTAAAAATGAACAAAAAACTTGTCAAAATGAACAGCTGCTTGTCAAAATGAACAGCTGCTTGTCAAAATGAACAGCTGCTTGACAAAATGAACAGCTGCTTGACAAAATGAACAGCTGCTTGTGAAAACGAACAGCTGCTTGACAAAATGAACAGCTGCTTGTCAAAATGTCAAAATGAACAGCTGCTTGACAAAATGAACAGCTGTTTGTCAAAATGTCAAAATGAACAGCTGCTTGTCAAAATGAACAGCTGCTCGATAAAATGAACAGCTGATTGTCAAAATGAACAGCTGCTCATCAAAATGAACAGCTGCTTGACAAAATGAACAGCTGCTTGTCAAAATGAACAGCTGCTTGACTTGCTCATGAATTCTTAGTACATTTAAGTTACGTTATATCACTAATGCTACCCTGCAAAAATAAAGAAGTTTCCAAAATCAGCTCATATCATTTTTATTTATAAAAAATCTTTTACTTGTGTCTCAAAACATAAACTGTCAAATAAAATTATAATTATAATTTATTAAAATAATATTAAAACTGTTTATATTTAATATTTTTGATTTGGCTTTACGGAAATAATAAGTTGAGCATCTTAAAATTTCTTTGAAATTAAGATATGGTTGTTATTATTGTTATGGTTAACTATGATTTGATGCTTTCAAGCAAAGGTTGTCATGCAGTACAAAGAAAACCTGAAACAATATATCAATTTAAAGGAAAAATGGACTTATGGAATTGTCCCTTTAATGGCTGATAGGCCTGTTTCAAACTTTTGAGAGTTGAATTGGTACATTAATTAACATAATGTCTCAAGCAAGGCATGTGATGAAACAGTAAGGAGAATTTACAAAACATGATTTCAGATGTGTCTGCATGCAAGTGGAAGCATTACATGGTATTCTACAAAGAGACATAATACAGACTTACATGTCTTGATTTTGATTTAAGCTCTGCACCATAAACCATGCAGCAAATGATCACTACATCTATGATATAACAAATTGATGATATGAAATTGAAAAGGATATCAGTTCAAAATATTTAATGCAATATGGATTAACAGAAGAGCTTGAGAAACGTAGTGCTACTACTGGGTTTTGAACTGTTTAAAATCAAAAAGAAAGAAGTTTGTTGGAAACATGGTAACACCATTTAAAAGCCAAATTATATTAAAATAAAACAAAAACAGAATGTATCACTTAGGCATTAATTGGACAATCTTTACAGTGCCACAAAGAATTCCACAGATACTGAGAAAAAAGTGTTAAAGAATGTCAGTAAAATTTGTGTAGTTGTGTGATGCAGTAAAATTTAATTGATCCAGCATCAAAAAATATGGAACAGGGAGTGATAGATGTTGCATGTATCTTATTGCCTTTGATGTGATTTACTATACGTAACAATTAACTTGAATTGTAATCCAAGTCAATTTGTAAAGTGGAGAAAGATGCATCACAAAAATGCTATAAGTACAATAACTCAATTGGATTCAGGATTTAGGGAGCAAAAAAACTATTGATGGACAATGAAGTGGTGTTCATATCAAATGAGTTTTTAAATATTTGTGAGAAATGGTGTGCAGGCTTTGACAGGAGTAAATGAATGCTATGAATAGCCTGACTAAAATGGCTTTTTCGAGAAATTAAATTAATTATGTTTTTATGATAATTTTTTATATTTTTATTTTATTTCTATATACTTTTATTTTGTTTTTATTTCATTCCAGTGGGTATACTTTTTAGTAATAAAAAAGCAAAAAAACAACCTTTTTTATATTAATATTTTTATATTCATTTAATAATTTGGTTATTAATTAAATAAATAATTATATTAAAATATTATAAAATAAAACAACAATATAAAAATACTGTTATACAATAAATTTTATAAAAACAATTGATTGTGCTTTTATATTCTTCTTCTTTGTAAATAAAATGAATTCAAATATGAAAATTTTGATGATTGCAATTGCAGTGGAAGAGCTACAAATTGTTTAAAAAAAAATTTGGTTTAAAAAAACCTTGATTAAATAATTTGGATACTTAAGGTGAAGATAATAGTTTTTCAAAGTATTTTTTTTTTTCATTGCTGAGAGCCATTTGTATGCGTTTCACTTTGAGTGTTTTTTTGTTCTTTGTTTTTGTTTTTAATTATTTTCTTTACTCTTGAGTGAACTTTTATTTCATTATTTTATTTTCACATCAATTACCTAATAATAAAGTTTTTTTTTGTAGCACATGCTAAATTATTATTATTTTTTTTTTTATAGCAAATATTTAACATTTATTTTACCAAAAAATTTATATTTTGCTTGAACTTTACTTTGCTCATGTAAACTAAGTTACATGATTAAGGAGGAAAATAAGGATTAATTTGGCTTAATTTTTTTGTTAAAGTACAAAGTGGGTTTTTCTAAAATTTAGTCCTATAACAAATAAAAAAACAGCTGTTGCCTTTGAGATTAAGATGATATTTTTAAATTTTTTAATTTGCCAATACTAATAATAAATAATAATAAGTTACTGAAATTTTTCAGAACTATTTAAAACTTTCAAATCTTTAAAAACTTTTTAGAATGTCCTCGGCCTGTCAAATATTGTCATCCAAGTATAAAAGCACTCATGTCCTTGCTCACTCATACCATATCAAATAATATAATTACTGAGTAAGAAAATACAAATCAAAGTTAAAAAAAATATTATTTTATTGTTGATGGACATCAAGAATTTGTTTTCATACAGCAGATGCATTTTTCTATGCATTTTTTATAATAAAAATTATAAAAATTTATGTAGAAAGTATTGTGTAAATGCAAGCCATAAAGTGTGTTAGGCCTGCCTAGACATACCCATTGGGAAACAGTACAAGCTCTAAACAACGTATTTCACATGTGAATATTGCAAAAAAAATTTTGATAAGAAAAGAATTTGCACTCCCTAACAAAGCTGTGCTTTATTGCAAAATTTCAATCTTTTTGATATTGAACAGTTAAAGGAGTTGCAGTGAGTAAACTTTACCATTTATTAATATGTTATAATAAAATATGTGAGCCATCTTCAAAAGAAATCAGCAATTGAGGTAGATGTTGAATGCCTAAATTCCACTAACATGGTTGAGTAGGAAAAGGCATACTTTCCTAACCAAAAAGTTAACAATCTAATCAAAGACTTTAGTCTGATCAAAGTTTAATGCTTCCGACACCCAGACCCAAGTAGTAGACAACAGCTTGTATCAGATCAGATAAAAGTGTTACCAAACACTTTCTAACATCTTCATTTATCAATATGGACTGTGCTTCGATATTGATCAAGTAATGAAAAGATTTTTTTTTTAATTTTTATTATTTATGTTCAAAGCAAAACATGTGTTATCTCCAGGAACATTTCCAACTTTAATGACTAAGGCTTTTTTAATAGTGTTTATGACCTCTATGGGATACCCACAAACTATTACAATTTGTGCTAAGGTCTTGAGCTCTTTACAAATATCCTAACAAATTTATTATCAGTGTAAACATCTACAAATTTATTATTTATCAATAAACAACTTTGTCATTCCCATAACCCATCTTAAATTAAGTTCGTACCAAATTCAATATCAGGACCTTTAGCTTAGAAACATTTTCTTCATATTTTTAATGAAAAATAAGACTTTGTTGTGATATAGTATTAACAAATATATTTAATTATAAAATTTTTAAAATTAATTTTAATTTCTTTTTTTTTTATAACTTAACTATATACTTTTTTTAAAAATTTTTTTTTTTGCTTTTTGTGTTTTTCTGTTTTTTTTTTACCTTCTTTGGAGGATCTCTTCTGTTATATTCTTCTGCCCAAAGTTTAGCATCCATTTGTAGTTTAACATCATCAAAGTACTGCTTTGCCATAATTGTCTCATTCATATGTATTTTTGCAACTATATTATTAGCATATGCCCAGTCATTAGTATGAACAGTAGTTGGGAGTTTCTTCCTAGTAAAAATCAAAACAAAGAAGTTATATTCATGCTTATGTTTTCATATTATTAAATGAATAAAAAGTTTTCTCAAAACAAAAATCATTCCTTAAAATAGCCATAATAATATTAATAACAATAATAAAAACAGTAAAAATAGATATAACTGTATTCACATCCTAAACCCAAAGAGGCTGCTTCAGCCAAGATGGCTTTATTTAATTTTTATTAAAACCTTCTCCAAAATCTAAAACGCAAACCTAAAACATACCAAAAACTAAAAACCTAAAACACAAACTCTAAAACACAAACCTTGACAAATAAGACCACTGAAAAGTGAAGCAAGTTATCTATATAACTAATACTAATGTTACTAGGAACCAAACTAGGTCAAAGCACAACTACTAAATTGTTAAGTAAAATTTTGTTATTTATAGCTATTAAAATAACTATTACTATTTCTTTTCCCAAAAAAAAAAAAAAAAACTAATTAAAGGTCTGTCAAAGTATGCAATATTATAAATTTTTTTTTATTGATTTCAATAAAATTTTAAATGTTTAAATAGATATATATTAAAAATATTAATGATCTTTAACGCCAAAAAAAAAATATATATATATATATACAGGGGCTATACTAGACCGTTTTCGACAGCGCCGACCATATTTGGGCGCCACCTAATTAAAATTTGAGGACCTTTTTTTTTTTATGTTTTTTACAGCAAATATTGTTATTTTCAGGAGCAAACTGCCAATTTTTGCTAAAGCTCACCGGAATGAGGGGGTACTGCCACCCAAGTTTTTTACCTAGAATAGGCCTTGATATACATACATATATATATATATATATATATATATATATATATATATATATATATATATATATATATATATATATATATATATATTATATATATATATATAGATACAATGATTAATATAACAGTAAACTAAGTAAAAGTTGTTTAAAATGACTATAAAATATAGTGAATTTGTTTTAATTACAAAGCAAAATGATCTCTTATATTGTCTCATGCATAACAACTGCGAAAGTATGGGTATTCCTACAAAGAAATCACAAAACGATTTCTTTCTGGTTTTTAGTATCCAGGAGCTTATGGACTATTTAAAAAAAAATTAAGACTTTTTGGGTTGAAGAACAATCAATACTGAAACCAGAATCCTAAATGTAAAATTTATAATAATCATAAGGCACAACAGGACTCCAAGCTAAAAACTAATAGGTTGTCTCAAATTTTTTTTTTATTGCAGATTATAAATCACTCAACATTTTTAGAGCACCTTGACACCAGAGACAAGGGAAAAATAGTAATTTAAAGTCAGAGTCCTTATTGGCACTCTGCATCCCTGAATAATGCATAATGATACAAGATGATATATAATATGAATAATGCCTGAATAATGCATAATGATACAAGATGAGAGTAACCTGTATTATTATCATCCCTGATAACCTGAATATTAATCTATATATAGATAAATGCTTAATAGTTACTATATAAAATTATAATCATAATAAAATCATTATTTTTGCTTTATTTTTTTATCAAAATATTTTTAAAATTTAAGAAAATTTTTTATAAAAACTTTATTTAACATTTATTAAAATCTAACAAAGGTTT